AGTTCAGTTCTAGTTCAGTTCTAGTTCAGTTCTAGTTCAGTTCTAGTTCTGTTCTGTTCTAGTTTAGTTATAGTTCTGTTCTAGTTCTGTTCTAGTTCTGTTCTAGTTCTGTTCTAGTTCTGTTCTAGTTCTGTTCTAGTTCTGTTCTAGTTCTGTTCTAGTTCTGTTCTAGTTCTGTTCTAGTTCTGTTCTAGTTCTGTTCTAGTTCTGTTCTAGTTCTGTTCTAGTTCTATTCTACTTCTGTTCTAGTTTATTCTAGTTCTGTTCTAGTTCTGTTCTAGTTCTGTTCTAGTTCTGTTCTAGTTCTGTTCTAGTTCTGTTCTAGTTCTGTTCTAGTTCTGTTCTAGTTCTGTTCTAGTTCTGTTCTAGTTCTGTTCTAGTTCTGTTCTAGTTCTGTTCTAGTTCTGTTCTAGTTCTGTTCTAGTTCTGTTCTAGTTCTGTTCTAGTTCTGTTTTAGTTCTGTTCTAGTTCTGTTCTAGTTCTGTTCTAGTTCTGTTCTAGTTTTGTCCTAGTTATGTTCTAGTTATGTTCTAGTTCTGTTCTAGTTCTAGTTCTGTTCTAGTTCTGTTCTAGTTCTGTTCTAGTTATGTTCTAGTTATGTTCTAGTTCTGTTCTAGTTCTGTTCTAGTTCTGTTCTAGTTCTGTTCTAGTTCTGTTCTAGTTCTGTTCTAGTTCTGTTCTAGTTCTGTTCTAGTTCTGTTCTAGTTCTGTTCTAGTTCTGTTCTAGTTCTGTTCTAGTTCTGTTCTAGTTCTGTTCTAGTTCTGTTCTAGTTCTGTTCTAGTTCTGTTCTAGTTCTGTTCTAGTTCTGTTCTAGTTCTGTTCTAGTTCTGTTCTGTTCTAGTTCTGTTCTGTTCTAGTTCTGTTCTAGTTATATTCTATTTCTGTTCTAGTCAATTTTATTCACGTGTATCAAATGCATGTTTTAACACCTTTAATTATCTGCCTTCATTTGTAATCTTAACCATCCTATTCCTAGAGATTGTTTATTTTTGATAAATCATAGAAAATTTATGGCCCTCGAAAATGTGAGTAGTATTTTATAACAAATTATATATATATATTTCTGATATAAGAAACCAGCTTTCTTACGTCCATAAAATTTATGAGCAACAACAAATACAAAACCTCTAAAAATAAAACATTTAATTAAAAAATTTATAACAATTGTTTAATGAATTTATAAGCAAGAAATGAATTTTAATTTTTTTACGTACTATTCTAAGGCCCCCCTTTTAGGTGCAAAATTCAAATTGCAATTTTTTAGTAATAAATAAAATATAATTTTTTGCACTCAAGTACCTATTTTGAACTCAATATAATTAAACAAATAAAATTCTGGTTGTACATTTGTACTTGTTGTCTCCTAAAAGTATCTCAAGTATGATGATGAGTAATTTTTGTTGCTATAGTTGTTGTTTATATATTTTTTTTATTTAATTAACGTTTATGGTTTTTTACCTGTTTTGTCAGTTGTCTTATTAGAACAACACTTACTCTTTCCATAACACCACCTCAAATTTGCTGTTTTATGGGAGACACTTCAGAAATCACAAGAGTTTTGATTTGTTTTACCACATAATTTTCGAGTACATACTATAGTATATAGTATTTGATTTTTTTGATTTGTTGATGATCGTAACGATTTTTGTTTCTTGTTGTTGTATTTGTTATTTCACCAAGGGTACTTATGGACTCACACTTCTGAAGATGATTTTTTTATTTGATTTGTTGTCGTTTATTTCAAGTTTTTTTATTGGTGCAAATTAGCTGTATAATTAAAAATGAAGTGTTATTGTCTGTTTTATATAGAAAGAAATTATGATTGAATAATAATATTAAATTTGAATCGCCGTCGGTAAGTGTTGTAATTTATAATGTGGGAGAATTGTTCTGGAAATTATTGTTAGCCGACGGTAAATCGTAGCGGATACAAACAGACCTTTTTCAGAAAATCATCTGTGGCTGAGAAAAGTTTCAAGATTGGAATTTAATTAGTACTTTTAAAACATTAGTGGTCTATTTTGGGACTACAAAACGACTTAAAGTCGAAGCTGAATTAGGACTAATGAACAGACCAACGATCTTTTGAAAACAAAAAGTTCTATCATTGAGGTTTAATTAGGATTTAATTGTTCTGCTTCACTACTAGTTTAGATCTAGTTCAATTCTAGTTCAGTTCTAGTTCTGTTCTAGTTCTGTTCTAGTTCAAGTTCTGTTCTAGTTCTGTTCTAGTTCTGTTCTAGTTCTGTTCTAGTTCTGTTCTAGTCTGTTCTAGTTCTAGTTCTGTTCTAGTTCTGTTCTAGTTCTAGTCGTTCTAGTTCTGTTCTAGTTCTGTTCTAGTTCTGTTCTAGTTCTGTTCTAGTTCTGTTCTAGTTCTGTTCTAGTTCTGTTCTAGTTCTGTTCTAGTTCTGTTCTAGTTCTGTTCTAGTCTGTTCTATGTTCTGTTCTAGTTCTGTTCTAGTCTGTTCTAGTTCTGTTCTAGTTCTGTTCTAGTTCTATTCTAGTTCTGTTCTAGTTCTGTTCTAGTTCTGTTCTAGTTCTGTTCTAGTTCTAGTTCTAGTTCTGTTCTAGTTCTGTTCTAGTTCTGTTCTAGTTCTGTTCTAGTTACTAGTTCTAGTTCTGTTCTAGTTCTGTTCTAGTTCTGTTCTAGTTTCTGTTCTAGTTCTGTTCTAGTTCTGTTCTAGTTCTGTTCTAGTTCTGTTCTAGTTCTGTTCTAGTTCTGTTCTAGTTCTGTTCTAGTTCTGTTCTAGTTCTCGTTCTAGTTCTTTCTAGTCTGTTCTAGTTCTGTTCTAGTTCTGTTCTAGTTCTGTTCTAGTTCTGTTCAGTTCTGTCTAGTTCTGTTCTAGTTCTGTTTCTAGTTCTGTTCTAGTTCTGTTCTAGTTCTGTTCTAGTTCTGTTCTAGTTCTGTTCTAGTTCTGTTCTAGTTCTGTTCTAGTTCTGTTCTAGTTCTGTTCTAGTTCTGTTCTAGTTCTGTTCTAGTTCTATTCTAGTTCTATCTATTCTAGTTCTGTTCTAGTTCTGTTCTAGTTCTGTTCTAGTTCTGTTCTAGTTCTGTCTTTCTAGTTCTGTTCTAGTTCTGTTCTAGTTCTGTTCTAGTTCTGTTCTAGTTCTGTTCTGTTCTAGTTCTGTTCTAGTTCTGTTCTAGTTCTGTTCTAGTTCTGTTCTAGTTCTGTTCTAGTTCTGTTCTAGTTCTGTTCTAGTTCTGTTCTAGTTCTGTTCTAGTTCTGTTCTAGTTCTGTTCTAGTTCTGTTCTAGTTCTGTTCTAGTTCTGTTCTAGTTCTGTTCTAGTTCTGTTCTAGTTCTGTTCTAGTTCTGTTCTAGTTCTGTTCTAGTTCTGTTCTAGTTCTGTTCTAGTTCTGTTCTAGTTCTGTTCTAGTTCCTGTTCTAGTTCTGTTCCTAGTTCTGTTCTAGTTCTGTTCTAGTTCTGTTCTAGTTCTGTTTCTAGTTCTGTTCTAGTTTCTAGTTCTGTTATAGGTTCTGTTCTAGTTCTGTTCTAGTTCTGTGTCTAGTTCGGTTCCTAGTTCTGTTCTAGTTCTGTTCTAGTTCTGTTCTAGTTCTGTTCTAGTTCTGTTCTAGTTCTGTTCTAGTTCTGTTCTAGTTTCTGTCTAGTTCTGTTCTAGTTCTTGTTCTAGTTCTGTTCCTAGTTCGTTCTAGTTCTGTTCTAGTTTCTGTTCTAGTGCTGTTCTAGTTCTGTTCTAGTTCTGTTCTAAGTTGTCTAGTTTCTAGTTCGGTTTACGTTCTGTTCTATTCTAGTTATGTTCTAGTATGTTTATGTCCTAGTTTATGTTGCCTAGTTTTGTTCTAGTTTTGTTCTAGTGCTGTTCAGTTCTGGTTCTAGTTCTGTTCTAGTTCTGTTCTAGTTCTGTTCTAGTTCTGTTCTAGTTCGTTTTCATAGTTCTGTTCTAGTTCTGTTCTAGTTCTGTTTCTAGTTCTGTTCTAGTTCTTTCTGTTAGTTCTGTTCTAGTTCTGTTCTAGTTCTGTTCTAGTTCGTTCTAGTTCTGTTCTAGTTCTGTTCTAGTTCTGTTCTAGTTCTGTTCTAGTTCTGTTCTAGTTCTGTTCTAGTTCTGTTCTAGTTTCTGTTCTAGTTCTGTTCGAGTTCTGTTCTAGTTCTGTTCTAGTTCTGTTCTAGTTCTGTTCTAGTTCTGTTCTAGTTCTGTTCTAGGTTCTGTTCTAGTTCTGTTCTAGTTCTGTTCTAGTTCTGTTCTAGTTCTGTTCTAGTTCTGTTTTAGTTGTGTTCTAGTTGTGTTTCTAGTTCTGTTCTAGTTCTGTTCTAGTTCTGTTCTAGTTCTGTTCTAGTTCTGTTCTGTTCTAGTTCTAGTTCTGTTCTAGTTCTGTTCTAGTTCTGTTCTGTTCTAGTTTCTGTTCTAGTTCTTCTGTTCTAGGTTCTGTTCTATTTCTGATTCTAGTTCTGTTCTAGGTTCTGTTCTAGTTCTGTTCTAGTTGTTCTAGTTCTGTTCTAGTTCTGTTCTAGTTCTGTTCTAGTTCTGTTCTAGTTCTTTTCTAGTTTTGTTCTAGTTCTGTTTCTGTTCTAGTTCTGTTCTAGTTTTATTCTAGTTTATTTTTGATTCAGTTCTAATTTATTTTGTAATTAAAAGATTTTTGAATTTTTTTTAATAATTTTTTTATTGACTAAATTAACATTTGTTTTGGTTTTATATAATTTTTTTTTATATTACAAGTAAATATTACACAATAGATTTTTTTAAAATTTTAAAAACTATAAATTCCAATAAAATGTCTTATAAAACACAACTAATATTTAAAAAATTTGTTTAATTAATTATAATAAATTCTATATTTTTTTGTTATTTTTTGTTAGACTTTTTTAAACTTACAAACTAAACAATTTACAGGATGTTAAAATTTTAAAAAATTTTATTATTTACAAAATTGTTAAAAAGGAAAATTCTTTATGTAAGCAAAACTTTATACATTTTTTAAAACTTAAACAAGTTTTTTGTTTCTAAAGGAAATTGTGGCTAAATTATATACAATTTTTTTGTTGATAAAATGAAATTTAAAAATAGAAAACTTTTTTACAAAAATAAAATTGCAACAAATTTATTTTTGTTTTTAATTATGTTACTCCCAAGGTTTTTTTGTTTGTTTGTTATTGTCCAAATTGTTGATTATTCGAGTCGCTTCTAAAATGCTGTTTTTAAATTATTGCTTTAAGGATTAAAAATTTTTGGTAGCAAAACTTGTGAATTTTTGAAATTCATTTTTAGTTTTTTCTCTTAAAATTTTTTAAGAATTTTTTTTAAAAAGGAATTTTTCTTTTTAGTATTAATTAGGGGCCCTGATTTTGTTCTAAACACCTGTTATTGTTAACTTTTAAGGCCACCCAGCAGCTTTTATTTTTCTCTAACTAAAAAATAAACCTAAATTTGTCTAGATTTGTGAAAATTCCTTTAATTTCTAATGCCACCAGGCACGTTGATGGGCATGGGCAGCATGCATACCCGCAGCAGCCGCCGCTGCGGCATGTTGATAAGCTGCCCCATTGGCCAACACTAAATGATGGGCGGCAGCATTTTGCATAGAAGCGGAGACACAATCTTGCGGCAATTTGGTGCCATCACTGAGACAGGGTTTACCATTACGCACTAACACAGGCACAGCTACTCGTCGTGGTGAGGGCAAGGCAGAGGGATGATGATGATGACCATGTAAGGCGGGATGTTGTTCGTAGACCCCTTTTTCATTTTGGGCCCGTTTTGTCTTGTAACGATGATTCTGGAACCAGATTTTCACTTGGGTTGGTGTTAGTCTTATTAAACTGGCTAAATGTTCTCTTTCGGGAGCCGATAAATAACGTTGTTGTCTAAAACGTCTCTCCAATTCATAAGTTTGGGCCTTGGTAAATAAAACACGTCGTTTTCTTTTCTTATTAGGCATACCATCAGCCCCCGAGCCGGTATTACTACCATCTTGATCATTTTCATCATCGATTTCTTCTTCTATACCATCCTCTATTAAACTATCATCATGGGGATTAGAGGAATTACCACCAGCACTGTTATTGCTATCGGTATTGGGTTTCATTAAATGACCATTGTTTTGTTGATTATGCAGATGATGTAGATTATTGTTGTCTCCACCGCCCACCGAGAGAGCATCACTATCGGCTGAACGACTATAGGTTTTGTAATCCCCCGATAGAGCAGGCGATGTTTGGCAATTTGAACCGATATAGGTGTAGGAAACTTCTGAGTTAACGGGTGAGGTACTGTCGGGACTGGCAGGTTGTTGGACACCTGTTGTGGAGAGAAAAGAAAAAAGAAAAAAGGAATTAGTAAATTTAGTTTTTAGAGTAAAAGTTTTTTTAAGTAAAAATAAAGAGTTTTATAGGGATTATGAAAGAGTTTTATTGGAAGCTTAATTGGGACTCAATAATTAACTTAATTCAAAGCTTCCTGGACCTTAATTGAAAACAGAAGAGATTTACGCCTAGGGCTTAAAAGGAACTGTAAACAAGCTAAAGCTTAAGTTCTTCTTCAGTTCCAGTTCAGTACTAGTTCAGTTCTAGTTCAGTTCTAGTTCAGTACTAGTTCAGTTCAGTTCTAGTTCAGTTCTAGTTCAGTTCTAGTTCAGTTCTAGTTCAGTTCTAGTTCAGTTCTAGTTCAGTTCTAGTTCAGTTCTAGTTCAGTTCTAGTTCAGTTCTAGTTCAGTTCTAGTTCAGTTCTAGTTCAGTTCTAGTTCAGTTCTAGTTCAGTTCTAGTTCAGTTCTAGTTCAGTTCTAGTTCAGTTCTAGTTCAGTTCTAGTTCAGTTCTAGTTCAGTTCTAGTTCAGTTCTAGTTCAGTTCTAGTTCAGTTCTAGTTCAGTTCTAGTTCAGTTCTAGTTCAGTTCTAGTTCAGTTCTAGTTCAGCTCTAGTTCAGTTCTAGTTCAGTTCTAGTTCAGTTTTAGTTCAGTTCTAGTTCAGTTCTAGTTCAGTTCTAGTTCAGTTCTAGTTCAGTTCTAGTTCAGTTCTAGTTCAGTTCTAGTTCAGTTCTAGTTCAGTTCTAGTTCAGTTCTAGTTTCAGTTAGTTCTAGTTCAGTTCTAGTTCAGTTCTAGTTCAGTTCTAGTTCAGTTCTAGTTCAGTTCTAGTTCAGTTCTAGTTCAGTTCTAGTTCAGTTCTAGTTCAGTTCTAGTTCAGTTCTAGTTCAGTTCTAGTTCAGTTCTAGTTCAGCTCTAGTTCAGTTCTAGTTCAGTTCTAGTCAGTTCTAGTTCAGTTCTAGTTCAGTTCTAGTTCAGTTCTAGTTCAGTTCTAGTTCAGTTCTAGTTCAGTTCTAGTTCAGTTCTAGTTCAGTTCTAGTTCAGTTCTAGTTCAGTTCTAGTTCAGTTCTAGTTCAGTTCTAGTTCAGTTCTAGTTCAGTTCTAGTTCAGTTCTAGTTCAGTTCTAGTTCAGTCTAGTTCAGTTCTAGTTCTAGTTCAGTTCTAGTTCAGTTCTAGTTCAGTTCTAGTTCAGTTCTAGTTCAGTTCTAGTTCAGTTCTAGTTCAGTTCTAGTTCAGTTCTAGTTCAGTTCTAGTTCAGTTCTAGTTCAGTTCTAGTTCAGTTCTAGTTCAGTTCTAGTTCAGTTCTAGTTCAGTTCTAGTTCAGTTCTAGTTCAGTTCTAGTTCAGTTCTAGTTCAGTTCTAGTTCAGTTCTAGTTCAGTTCTAGTTCAGTTCTAGTTCAGTTCTAGTTCAGTTCTAGTTCAGTTCTAGTTCAGTTCTAGTTCAGTTCTAGTTCAGTTCTAGTTCAGTTCTAGTTCAGTTCTAGTTCAGTTCTAGTTCAGTTCTAGTTCAGTTCTAGTTCAGTTCTAGTTCAGTTCTAGTTCAGTTCTAGTTCAGTTCTAGTTCAGTTCTAGTTCAGTTCCAGTTCAGTTCTAGTTCAGTTAGTAAGAAAATCTGTTTTAAGAAATCTTTCAAGAAAACATACTTAAAGTTCAGCTTTAATATGTGCAAACAATGTAAAACACTCTGAATTTTTTCTTATTATAGACTATTTTTAGGGGCGTTAATAAATTGTCTATAATTTTTATTGTAAAACATTATAACAAACGGGAAGGATGGCATATTAGATCACACCTCTATTTGAGGTTTTTCGTTTAACATGATTTAACATATTGCTTTTTGCTTTTACAAGCCAAAAAACCACCCCAGTTTTAGACACTACAGGAAGGTCACTGGAACTGCCAAAAAACGATCTTTAACACAATAGAAGAGGAAGTTTGTTATAATATCAGTTAAAACTCCTGTGGAGTTATAGAAAACTATGAATGAATTTTTAGAAAACAATAAGTATGAAAGAGACAGGGAGAGTTTCAGGTAGTTAAGAAAATTTTGTTTTTGTTGCTATTACAAACAATGGAAAAAACATAAACTAAGGATTAATTGACATTTGATTTTTATATAAAAACACAAAAACACACAGAGAACATAAAATATATGACAAACGTAAAGCTTTTCAAGATTGATAGTGTGATTTAGCAAGGATTTTTATTAGTATAAAAGAAAAACCACCCTGAATTTTTAATGTGATTTCTTTTTTTTTTTTGGGCTAAATAATTTACCAATTCTATGTTACAATAGGTTATATATCCTATATCCTGTTAAAACAATGCTGTTTCATGGGGTGTGTATGTATGTGTGAAGATCCTTTTTAAAGGAAAATTATCTGGCAAATTGTAGACAAATTTTCCGTGTTTATTTTATAATTGTTATATTTCAAAATCTTGCTTGTCATTAATTGTAAGTTAAAAAGTTATTTGGGGTTTTGTTTGTTGTTCGCTCGTTTGTTCCTTTATTTATTTGTTGTCTATCGATTTATTAAACTCTTCTCTTAATAATGTTTCTAACAAAAGGCAGATGTTTTTTTTGGGAATATATTTTTTAATAACCTTTTTTTTTTTAACATAATTCTATTAATAACCACCCTTAATTTGTTGTTTTTTAATCTTGACTAATAGTTTTTTTTTTTGGCTGCTTCACACTTGAGGATTATTTTGTTATTTTTTAGTTAGTGTTTAGTGTGTGTGTATTTTTTTAGGGAAATATTAAAAATATTGGCACGCACTTCCTTTTAGAGTTTTAGCTACTGAAGTATATGGGAATTTTTACAGCTGTTTAAAGTGAAAGCTCCCTGTAGTTTTATTAAGTTATTAAAAGGATAATAAAGCAAATAATTTTGTTAGGCAATAGGTTGCTATGGTATAATCATTAATCACCTTTTGAAAAAAACAAGAAATTGGTTTAAAACTTAAAATTATATAAGGCAAGGAATCAGAAAGGCAGAGGAAACTTAAGTCAACATTTGAAAAAAAAAAATCAAATACAATTATGAATGAATGTTTTAATAAGACAGCAAAAATGATTTTGATTTCAAGTTTTAATAGGTTTACAAAAAGCTCTATGAATGAAGTTTAATTGGGACTTAGTTGGGAACACAAACTGTTCTAAGATTTGACCCTAGTTGTAACTGCAAAAAGTTCAACAGTTGAAGACTAATTTGCACAACAAAAAGCTCTAAAATTAGAGCTTAATTGGCACTGCTTGTGACTAACGATTGATGTTTAATTTGCACTTCATATAGTTCTTAGTTAGAAGCTTAATTAGGACTACAGAAATTTTCAAGATTAAAGCTCTATTTGAACAACGAAAAGCTTTAAGATTTAAACTACAAAAGTTGTAAGAATAAATGTTATTAATTAACTACAAAAAGTTCTGAGTTTCAAGCTTAAAGTGAATTACAAAATGCTTTAAGGTAGAAGCTTAATTGGTATTGATTTCGAATTGCTCTAAAATTGAAGCTACAAAAAGTTCAAAGGTACAAGCTTAATTTGGCCTACAAAATGAGCAAAGATTTAAGCTTTATTGGGATTAGAATAAGGCCTTCGAATAAAGCTTAATTAATGCTATCAAAGAAGCTTAATTGAAACTTCAACATCTTCTACAATTAAAGCTTAATTGGGCCTTTATTTTAAGCATAAGTAAGACTAGAACTTTGTTTTAAGCATTAGTAAAACTTCATTAAAAGCTTAATTGAAAGCTTATGATTAACATAAAAAGTTTTAAAATTGGAGTTTAATTGAAATCATAAAAAGTCCCCAGAATTAAAGCTTGTTTTAAACTAAGCTTTTGCAAGCTTGTTTTAAACGAAGCTTTGAAAACGGAGACTAGAAAATGAGCTTTATTGAAAGCTTAAGTTAAACATAAACTGCCTTATGCAAAAACGATTATTAAGTTAACAATGATTGTTAAAACCTGTTTTTATATGGAAAAAGTGTGTAGTAAACCATTGTTAACTTTAGTAATCGTTTTTGCATAAGGCAGAAAACGTCTTACAATTGAAGTTTAATTTAAATCACTAAAAGTCACTCAAAGCTTGTTTTGAAAGCTTCTTCTTAACTAAGCTTTTGAAGGCTTGTTTCAAACTAAGTTTTTAAAAGTGGGACTAGAAAATGAGCTTCATTTAAAGCTTATTTCAACTTAAAAACTCTTATAATTAGAGTTTAATTGAAATCCTAAAAAGTTCCTTAATTAAAGCTTGTTCTTAACTAAACTTTTGAAAGCTTGTTTAAAAAAGCTTTTAAATGTTTATTTCTAATTAAGCTTTTAAAGCTTATTTTTTCTCTCCTTAAACTTACCGTATAAATCATTTTCCTTAATCCAAGGCGAACGACCCGAATGCGTTAGCATTGTATGGGCTATATGATACGAAGACATGTCATCGTTGAAACCATTGGGGAAATTTTTAGGTAAATATTGACCAGCAGCCGCCACAGCAGCGGCAGCATTATGATTGGCAATAAATTGAGCGGCTGCCTGAGCCTGAGCTGAAGCACTAACCGCCGCCGCTGAAGCCACATTAGAAGCACTGTTAGGATCCAAAACGGCAGCAGGATTGGCGGCTGTAGTTAGGTGAGTGGAATCGCCATTTAAGGGGGTTAAATGATTGGCATCGGAGGTTTGTTGCTGTTGATTAATATCTTGCGGATGATGGCCGCCGGTGTTGTGTTTAAGTTCAGAGTTTTCTAAATTTAAAATATCCGATATATGAAAACCGGAAGATCTTTGCGAGGAGGGTACTTTGGCATCAAAGAGGCTAAAAAGAAAAAACAAAAGAAAGGAAATGATGAATTTTGTGTATAAAGAACAAATTTATTTATTACATAAAACTATAAAAGTTATATTTAGTTTAAAAAATCTACCTGTTTCTGCTAGTGCTTTGGGTAATTTTTAAATAATTGTTTTATGATTTTGGGTAAAAACAGGATGTATGGGATTTTTTGTTACGAAAATATTATAATATTTTAAAAATTAAGCCCAAGATTATTCACACATTTTTGTTTTCAAACTGAGCTAAAAATGTTCGTAAATGTGTTAAAGTTAAAGCCCTGAAGTTAAACATTTTGTAAATTAATCTTTGTAAGGAAATTTGATTTTTGTTAATTTAATCACATCAACAATTAACTAAATTCCTTACAAAACCAAGGCACACTTCTTTTGATACTACAGCTTTAGACAGCAACTAAAATTAAAGATTAAATTTTAACTACCTGAATTTCAGAGGTTAATTTGTGTATCCGTCCATCCATCCGTCCGTCCGTCTGTCCCTAGCAAAAACCACAAAACTGTTGTTAATACAAAACACATGTGTGTTAAGCAAAAAAAAAAACTAGGTTTTCTTTGAGTAAAAATGGTTTTTCCCTGTGAGTTTCCCAAAAGATTTTTCGCAATTTAAGCAAAATTCCCACGCCTTTTAGGCACAAGTTTAACACCTCTAAAACGTTTACACTTAGATCACTGTGTATTTAAGGGAATTTCCTTAACAGGATTCCCCCGTGTTTCGCCTGTTACGTGTGTTCTCTCGTATGTCTGTTGGCAATGTCTGTTCAACACATGTTTGGAAATTGAGCAAAAATTTTGAAATTTTCTTATGGTTTTTCCTTTAACACCTATGGGAATTTTAAACAAAATTTCCTTGATTTTATATGATGGCTCATCAGGGGAGATTAGTTTTTTATTAGCAAAGTGTACAGGAAAAAACAGCGAGAAAGATCCTTGTACGCGCCTTTGGTTTTGTCGAGCAAAAATTTGGGTAAATCCTTAATAACAGCACCAAAAATTTGCTAAAACTTTACATGTGCGTGGAAATTACGTGTTTTTATTTAATTTTTAAAATTGGGATTTAAATTAAGGAATTAATTAGGATAATTGCTTAACAAACAGAAAATTTTAACAAAATTTTCAACAATTTTAAAGAGATTTTATTTTTTTCAAAACATCCCATAGTGCTTTAATTAATTTTCCTTCAAACTTAATACATTCTATTAAGAAATTACAAAAAAAATCAAAATTTGTTAAATTTGTTTAAAAATTCTTAAAGTCTTCCTTAAACGACCCATAGTGTCATAAGTAAATTTTCAAAATATCATTAATGTCCTTTAATTCCTTTTGTTTTACTAAAAAATTATATCAAATTTGTTTAATGTTTTTCCAAATTCTTGATTTAAAGCTTAAACGACCCATAGTGTTATAAATAGATTTTCTAAAATGTATAAATTTTAACTTTAACATAATTAAAAAACCCCAACAACCCCAATAAAACAACCTAAAAATTTAACAAGTTCCAATTTTTTGTTTTTAAACAACCCACTGTGCAATTACAAAATCTTAAAATTTTACATTGTGCAACAATGTTTTAACATTTCTTTAAATTATAAAACAAAATTTCGCTCAAAAAAGCCATAAAAGTGTTATTTTTATCCATTTTGTTTTAACCTACCCATAGTGCAACATTAAAATCTTTGAAATTTTACTGCATTTTATATTTATAGACATTTTAACATAACTTCTCACTTGAAAAATATAAAAAAAATATTACTCCAGATTTTTTCTCTAACAAGCCCATAGTGCAAGGAAAAAATATTTAAAATTTCTAAAATTTCTTTCAAATTAAACAAAAAATTCTCAAGAAATTCACAAAAAATGCTATTTTATTGAATTTTGTATTTTAAACATCCCATTGTGCAATTATAAAATCTTTAAATTAAAACACATTTTAACATTTATTTAATTACTAAAACAAAATTCCAAAAAAATAAAGTTTTGATGAAGTTTTACAGAATTTAGTTTTTTTTATGCAACCCATTGTGCAACTTCAAATTCAAATTTTTAACCATTTTTTTAACATTTATTTAAATTTGATAACAATTGAATAAAAAAAATTCACAATTTAAACAATTTAGTGTCGAAATTTTAAAAAAATGTATAAAAAGCTTTGCGAAATGCTTGTGAGCTTTAGAGCTTTTGTAGAAAATTTGAATAAAATTAATTTTTTTGTTAAATTTTGATTGAAAATTTCAAGTCCATAACGATTACTTCATATTTTAGTAATTTATTACATCAAAATCCGAAAAAATGCTTCAAAAGCTTGAAAGCTTTAGCAGACATTTTTTATAATTTTCAGGTTTTTCTTCGAAATTTTAAATACTATGACGATTAAAAAGTATTTGAGGGCTTTATAATAGAAAATATGTAAAATTTGTTTCAAAGCTTTAAAGCTTTTTTCTTAAAGTTCAATGAAAGTAAATTTTTTATTCAAAATTTGAATTTTTATCATGTTTGTTTAGTATTTTTGTAATTTTTGACAACCAATTTCTACAATTTGCTTAAGAGCTTTAAAGCTTTAATATAAATTTTTAGAGAAATTTGATTTTTTGATAGAATTTTATATGTATATAGCAGCCAGAAGCAATTTTGGACTTTTAATGCTAAAAGTTCAATAAAATTGTTTTAGAGCTTTAAAGCTTTAGTAGCAATTTTTAGTAAAATTAAGTTTTTTTTTTTTTTGTAAAAATGTCAGTTTTTACAATGCTTAAAGCTATTTTGTTTACTATATAAAATATAGAAAATGCTTTCAATTTTGTTAAGAGCTTTAAAGCTTTTTAGAGGAATTTGGTAAAATTTTGATTTAAGTAAACATTATTAGTTTTGTTGTTGACTGGTGTTTTAGTCTACTACAACATTTTTTAATAAGGTTAAGTTTTTCTGTATTTCCTAGTTGAGCTTTTGATTAATAAAATTTCCTTGAAGCTTATAACCTTACTTAGATGTAGCTAAAGCTTTTTGAAACTAAATGTTGAACAATTGAGCTTTATTAATTTCTCCCTAAAACTTGTTCGCAATTTTATAATGTCTTACCCTGGTAACGCATTACGCAAAGCCGCCGGATAAAATGCCGCTGGCAACAAAGCATGACCCCAATGAGGCAACAACATAGGAGACCAGGGCAGAAAAGGAGCCGCCGCTACTGCAGCAGCAGCAGCCGAAGGCACCATTAAACTGCTCATGCTGTGTAACGAGGGAAAACCACTAAATCCGGTGGCTCCCGTAGGTATTCTCAAATGATCTTGAGCTCCCACGGAAGGAGTATTTGAGGGAACTGTAGTAGTGGCGGTTTTGGCCGTTAAGTCTTCTCTTCTTAAATCCTTAGCGGCGGGTGTAGGGGTAGAGGTACGTGGTGGTGGCGAAGGTGATCTAGATCTTGATCTAGGTGATCGGGATCTAGGGGGCGGGGTAGGCGGTGAGCAAACGGAAATATCAGAATCCTTGTGCGGTGATTGTGAGGGCGATTTGTTGGGTGTGTGTCTAGCCGAGCCTGTAGAGGACTCGGTGGACTTGCGTCGGGACGGCGAGCGGGCCGGTGAGGGAGAACGTTTCCTTTTTTCAGCCACTTTGAAGCTGTTTTTTAACACGGAAATTTTTAACTGTTTTCTTGGGGGAAATAAAGGAGTTCAACTCCTAATATTTTTATTTATAAATATTAAACACTTTTAATTTATTTTGTTTATAGGGTTTTCCAATTATCCTGTTAATTTTTTTAGGTAAATTTCTTTCACACTTGTTTTTTTTTTTTTGTTTAGTTAAGATCCTTTTTATTAAACACGGTTTTTCTTTTTTTTTTTTTGTAAATTTTCCAATATTTTTAAATTTTTTTCTTAATATTAGGAAATTTTGTTTTAAAGAGGGTTTTTTTTTCTTTTTGGGAAATATTTTGTTTTAATTTGGGTTTTTGCTAAACGCGACGCTGATGCAAACTATTTGAAGTGTCATCAACAACTAACTTGTAAACAAGAACTCAACATAATTCCAACCAAATTTCAGCAGTTCAAAAGTGGTTGGCTAAATCATGTACAAAATATAGAATTTTCCCAACAACCACCATACTACCAGTGCCACAAATTGTAGCAAGCAACAACACGAAGTAAAGAAAAAAACCCAAACAAATCCACTTTCACCTCCGGCCATTGTACACGTAAAATACACAACAACAACAAAAGAAAAACCCATTCACCCATCATGTAATAAAAACAGATCGATTTTATGTGCTAAGTGGGCTCTCATGTCCTTTTCAACAACAACACAAGCACACAAACACACATACTCTCTCTTTGCCTACTCACAAGCACCTCAACAATAACAGCAGCAACAACAACAACAAGAACCTCACGAAGAGCTCTTATAAACCTCATCAACACCAATTGCCTTTAAGCACAAATATCCTTTCGTAACAATTAACCAGAGAGAGTAAAGCAAATATAATATTTAGCCCTCTCTGTCTAACACTCTAGAAGAGCGCATACTCTTCAATATGGGTGAGAGGGTACTTGAATTTGTTGCTGTAGTAGAGTTGTGCTCATTATTCTCATCATTTAATGTATGTACAACAAGGTAACTGTATAGACGAGTACTACAACTACTACCAGTTTGGAGTAGTAAAACTCTTCGTTTATCCTGAAATTGTTTTTGTTTTATCACACATACCACCACCACTCACTGCTCTACCACCATTACTACTTCTATGACTATTTTCAATTTATGTGTTTGTTGTTTTTTTCTTCTTTTCTTTGATTTTCATTCATACTCATTCATGTTTTTATACTTTTCGTTTTTGTTTTGTTGTTTTTGTGTCTCAGCCAACCATGATTGAGGCTTAAGTCTTGTACATACTTTACATGATTGGGTTTCACATTTCTGGGCTCTTCTGTTTTCAAGCATTTTTCACTTGCCGTTTAAGTACTCGGGCTCTCCATCCTTCTT